GCTGTCCAGCAGAACGATTATAATAAAGTAAAATGTTATCCGGCCTGAGATGACAATGAATAATACCAGTTTCGTGCAAATTGTGTACTCCTTTGAGCAACTGCCGGCAAAAACTTTTTCTTTCTTCTGTATTGATTATAGAATCACCACTAAGCAAATGAGAAAGAGTCCCTTCCATAAGCTCTAAAATTAGGTAAATGCAATTATCATGATAGACTGGGCAATTATAAAATATTATATGCTTGCGGTCAACAGAATTGAGTTTAACGAGGTTACGTATTTCATGTTCATAGTTTGTCTTTGTCTTGCAAATACGTTTTATTGCAACTTCCATGCCATCTTCCACTTTGATTCCTGCGAACACCTTACAGCCAAATGAGCCTTCTGAATTAATATGCTCTTTATGAAACCAAATCCTGGATTGATCTATTTTCTCGCAGTTATTGGACTTCGAAACTTCCTCCAACTTTTTTTTATACCTTATAGCAACACATCCTTCAGGATTCCAATTTGTAAGATTAGGCACTTGTTCAGGATTTATTTGTTTATTTAAAAGTTCTTTCAGCTCTGAACACTCTTCTGCTATCTCCAGACAAGACTGGCCTGTTTCATCGGGGATTGCACAATCAGCTTTATACGACAGCAATAGTTTTGCAATGGCCCAGTGTACTGTTGTTTGTACGGAAGAACCATCATCCTTTGATGCTTCAATAATATTCCTGCAGCACGAATGAAGAGGAGAAGTTTTAGACCATTTTATTTCAAAAAGAGGTTTTCCCAAGAATTGTAGAATCTTTTCAACATATTCTCGCTTCCAGGGTTCATTTTTGTTGTCTTTACATAAGATATTTAAGATTGTACATGTATTTGTGGTTTCGTCTGCTGAAGGGAAGTTTTTTTTGTTTGCACAAAAAACATCAATCATGGCTTTGGCTAGATCAACAGCTTCTGATTCAATGAGATAACTCAAAACAGAATTTCCATGTTTATCGACTACCCAAGGATCAAGACCTTTCTTAAGTGCAGTTAGTTTCCAAAAATCTTTTGGATCGTCAAGCTCGACGTCTGGATAAAAAAAAGTGTGTGTTTTGTTCTGTGCAGCAACAATAAGGGGTGAACGTCCTAATACATCTACAACATTTGGGTTTGCTCCAGAATCCAGCAAAAGCTCAACAGCAGCCCAGGTTCTGCAGAGATGTAGAGGAGTCTGACCTTGTTTATTTCGTTCCTTCATTTGTGTATCACAGTCGACCAGAAGTTTATTAAGAACTTTTTTCATGAAATCTGAAAACACACTTCCTTCATTAGCAACATCTCTCAAGCATTGTTGAGGTGGTTCCAATGATGCCCAAAGATGAATTGGTGAGTTGAGGTTTTCATCTTTTTTGTTGATGACCCTTTTGGCTGCACTGGAGGNAACATATTCTAGTTTCCAGTGTTCATTTTTGTTGTCTTTACATAAGATATTTAAGATTGTACATGTATTTGTGGTTTCGTCTGCTGAAGGGAAGTCTTTTTTGTTTGCACAAAAAACATCAATCATGGCTTTGGCTAGATCCAAAGCTTCTGATTCAATGAGATAACTCAAAACAGAATTTCCATTTTTATCAACTACCCAAGGATCAAGACCTTTCTCAAGTGCAGTTAGTTTCCAAAAATCTTTTGGATCGTCAAGCGCGACGTCTGGATAAAAAAAAGTATGTGTTTTGTTGTGTGCAGCAACAATAAGGGGTGAACGTCCTAATACATCTACAACGTTTGGGTTTGCTCCAAAATCAAGCGAGAGTTCAACAGCAGCCCAAGTCCTGCAGAGATGTAGGGGAGTCTGACCACGTTCATTTGGTTCATTCAATTGTGTCCCACGGTCGAACAGAAGTTTATTAAGAACTTCTTTCATGAAATTTGAAAACACACTTCTTCCATCAGCAACATTACTCAAGCATTGTTGAGGTGGTTTCAGTAATGCCCAAAGATGAATTGGTGAGTTGAGGTTTTCATCTTTTTTGTTGATGACCCTTTTGGCTGCGCTGGTGGATGAAAATAATATGAATAATTCAATTCCTACTTGAACTGCATCCTTTAATCTTGTATTTCCATGCCATTCCAGAATTTTCTGCAAAAGCTTCATGATTAAATGTAAAACAGAGTCTCCTTTTTTCGTCGTCTCTTCAACATTTGATCCATTGCATATCAAAAATTCACAGACTTCTACAAGTATTTTGAAGGCTGAGAACTGGCTGTTTTCATCTAATATTTGTTGATCATTACTGTGCAAGGTTAAACAAAACAGAAGCGGTGTTTCACTTTGGTGGTTTTTTGAATCAACTGTTATTCCAACTTCTTCAAGTTTCKTTACTAAGTCCATTACTGCCTCTTTTGACACTCCATAAAATGGCAAACAAACTGCATGGTGAAGAGCAGTGTTTCCCTCCATGTCAGCACTGTTGGGATCAGCCCCTAATTCACACAGCAAATCAAGTATCTGTGGTATTGAGGTACTGCACAGTATTTTGTCATTCACAGTTTTTCTTACCATTTCCAAAACATCATCAATATCACTTTCATGTTTAGTACTATATGTCTTTGCTAACTCCAAGAAAAAGATAAGAATTGGTACATTGATTCCTGAATGAAAGAGGAGAGGACATTTGCAAAAGATGATGTTCATTATTGCTACATAAA